CCCAGTTTGTTTGTCCACACCTCCGCTTCTGGGCATTTGGCTCCGAGACACTGTAGTCTCTGGGCCTGGCTTACTTTAATTGTTAATTTGGCTTATGGCTTCTTCATTTTCGTCGCCCGTCTTGACCACAAATCATATTTTGCCCCAGGGGAGCGGCTGCGACGACTGGGGAGGACTCACTTAAGGTGTCTTCACTGTCCACAATAACAACACTGGCGCAGTCGTTTTGTGGTGCGGTTGTGGCGGGGGGAGGGGGGATGAGTAAATGTAATCAAAACCAAATTGCTGAAATTATTATTTAATTAATATGGGGCCAGCTGTGATTTGCCTTCCAATGATAGACTGCAGCGCCATATGGTTCGTCCTTTGGTTTCGGTTTTTGCCTGGGCCAGAGGATTAAAGCATTAAAGCCATATTGAAATGGCCACGTACAACAGTTCGGTGCCTTAATTGCATGGCATTCAAAATGGCCAAGGAATGATTTTCAAGTGCCTGTGTTTAAGTGCCTAAATTAATAAGTTTTAATACAAGGATTTATTTATTAATTATGAAGATTTTGAAGGGAATTATGGCTATTAAAATTCCTTAAAATATTTTATATTTTACTAAAATGTAATCCTTAATAATTTCCAAAAAACAAGCCTAATTTAAGACTCTTTTAAGGTCACTTTTGGCTTTAATAACTTGACCCGAAAAATTATTAAACCATTCCAGCAAGCCTCTTCCTGCTTGACATTATTTGTTTAGGATATCGCAGGACTTTTCAGGGTCTCTTTCAGGTGCCTGAGCCGCCCTTGAAAGAGGCGTGTACATGGACTAGGGATATGGCCAGGGCGGAAACGGAAGTGAATGCGGAAAAGCATTGGCCGCCCCAAGGCGAGGGCTGCCAACTCGGCAATAACTCAATGGCTAAATCAATTGACGCTCTCGACCACTCTGGCAGGCAGGCCGTCGAGAGTGCAGCTTATACACCGTCATGGCCAACATGCCACATGCCACGGCCCATGCCCCACCATATTTCACCGCCCCCGAAAAGTTTCTCGGCCAGCTGGCGTTGTTCTTGCCAATCCTTGAGTACTGCATCAGCATCTCATCCCAGCCCATTCCTTCATTCCCCTTGCCACTCGACAGCTTCAAAACAAAAAGTCAAATTGAATTACTTTTGCAACATGGCAGCGACGCCGAGGCAGCCACTCATTGTTGTTCGGATCCAGTTGTTGTCGCTGTTGTTGTTGTTGCCACTGCCATTATCCTTGTAGTGTTTCCGTACAACAGTGGCAACAGCACCTGGCCACCGGCAAAGGGAAGTTTCCAACCTGCCAGCCTCTGTCCCGCCTGCGCAACCGCCTCTTCCTACTTCCAACCAAGTGAAAGGCTATTGAAAGAAGGGTCCTTGGAAGGAGGGTGGCCTCACCTGAAGGACGGCGGATTGGCCGGCACTTGGCCAGCTATCTCCAGGAGGCTGCCAGGCTGCACTGCATCCGAGCATCAATATGGCTACACTAAAGAAAAAACTTTCATCAACAAATGGAAATCAATTTAAAGAAAAAAGCAGTTTTATTAAGAAATATAATCAGTTTAGCCAGGAACCTTAAACTAATGGGGATTAATCGATATATTTAACAAGAAAAAGTTAAATATTTATTTAAAAAGAAAACTTCATACATCAACTGACCATTTTTCTCAGTGCAGGTCATAAAGAAGGGAATTTTGTGTGCTTTGTAAGCAGAAGTGTGCGAACTTCCGAGATGCAGTGGAATTTTGAGGGTGACGGTGGGGATTTTAGGAGGTGCCGGAAGACTGAGGGCGTGGCAGGGTCTTTGCAAAGTTAGAAAGGTGTGTGGAAAGGGGAAACGGTGCGGTGTAAGGGGAAACAGGAGGTCTTTTAAACGCCGTCGCACAATGGCAGCGGACGACGGCAAACATTTCGCTGCATAAGTTGCCGAGTAGCTGCCCTCAGCTACTCCCTGAATGTTCCTGCTCCTATTCACTATATATATATATAAAATCCTCTGTCTCTTGCCTCCAACTTTTACCATCGTCCATAGCTTTTGTCTGCCTTTATACAATGCAAGTTAATTCAGCACCAACTCGGGCAACAGCTGCTCCGGCCACGCCCCCTTCTTCCGCTAACGCCCCCCACTTTGTGGCAGTGCCGTCAACAACTTGTTGGCGTTGTTTCCTGTCAATCAGCACCACGCCCCCTCACCCACCACCGTCCATGTCCCATGCCCCATGCCCATTTAAGCTGCATTGTTTGTGGCAAGAACAGAAACAGAAACTGGAGGGGGAAAAAAAAAAACGAAAACATAATCTAAATTTTGTAATTGTCCCAGGAAGGACCTCCTTGCCCTGGGCGCCGGATGACAACAGAGAGAGAGAGAGCGGGGCAGGATGGGAGGAATTCAGTTCAGTCAGTCATTTTCATTCTGCTCATTTCTGACTTTAGCTTTAGCATCAGTTTCCTCCGAGCACTGCTAAGTCGTCCTGCTCTTTGTAATCACGAATCACAAACACAGCCACCGTCGTCCCCAACATGTCCCGTTGTGTGTTATCCTGCCTAATACAATATCTTCCACTCAATTTGATGCTGTCCATCCAATCCAATTTTCCTTCCGCTCTCTTTTTTTTTTTTTTTTACTTTAATTCTCGCTGGCTTGATTCCCTCTGTGCAACTTAGTCCAGTATTGCCACCAGATTGTTGTACCTTTTGAATCGGATTCGAACTCTTCTTTCCGTGCGCTTCTCCTGCATGTCCTTCTAAATATCCTTTTAATCATTTAATTTTCCCTTTTTGTAGCAGGGAATTGGTTTTAAGTAATGGGTTTCTCTGTATCAATCAATTGAGAGCTTAGATCAAGAGGTTGAGTTCTTAGTTTAAGGGGAATTTTAAAGAGAATGTTGCAGAATTGTAAACTAATTGAAATGTATTTAGGTGTTTTTTTAATGTAATTTTTACCAATAACTTACATTGCGTTAAAGCTCTTCTAATATCTCCGTTATTATAAATATTTCTATTCGCTCGCACTCAACGCCGAATGTTGTCATTCCTCTTTTTTCTTGTCCTTGCTCTTTGTTCAGTGAGATAGATATATGACATTCATATGGTAGAAAGGGATAACAATATAAAGCTTACAGTTAACTTCGGCTATTCTATTCCATTCTGTTGTGCAGTGCTATTCTATGTACAGTAGGTCCTTTAAGTATGTGTCCTACCACACTGCATATTAAACAGTGTATAATATAGGATATAACTATCAAACTTAGAATAACAACTTGGAAGAGCACTGTATTGCTAATACGATTTCGACGAAGAATATTGTTCGGAGTAGCAGTAACCAAAATTCCTAAACTGTAAATGCCATTGACTGTTTGTTTTGATTTACATTTGTAAACAACGAACAACGAAAAAAAAGACCACTGAGTTGTAAAGCTCTTTCTGTGCAAATATTCGCTCCGCTCTCGTGCTCTTAAACTTATCTCTTATATTCTATTATCTTCATAGGCAGAATGTTTGAAAAGCCGTCGGCTTTTATATAATCCTCTTTTGCCAAGGCAGTGCAGCTCGTTTTATCTTAAGGTATTGATTACTTAAGAGTTCTTAAAGTTAACTTAAAAGCAGTTTACATTTCCTATTATCCAGAATTGGTTTCCTAATTAGTTGGTCATCTTAATTCTTCGAGTCGAACAAACGTAACGTTTCGACTTTCTGATCGAAAGGGCAAGCTTGTTATTATTTTTTGGAGGAAAATGGAAGTGTAACTAGGAAATTAGGTCAGGTCAGGGGACATGGACCAGGCGGGGCGGCAACTGGGTCAGTGAAATAAATAATGAATATCGTTGCCAACAGCAGGGCAAACAGTAGCAACAACAACAACTGAGTGGCTTGCAGCAACAGCAACAACAACAACAACAACAACAACAACAACAACAACAACTCAACTCTTGAGTTGCAACACGCGCGCTAAGCGGCTGCATTAAAAGGCCACTCAAACACACAGCCAGGCGCCAAAAAGTGGGTGGTGGAAAATATAAAAACAATGCACAAGGGCTGGCCCATTTTCTCCCAAACCCCACTCCATTCTGCATTGTTTTTTTTTATTTTTCTCTGTGTAGGCTCACACAAAATCGAAATGCTGAAAATAGAGAGAGCGAGAATTTTGTTGTTGGCAGGCAAAAAGCTGGCAACAAATGATGAAATGCTAAAAAGCATGAAACGGCAACACAGTGTGGGTTTGCAAAATAAGGGGGAGGAATGGCTTTTTTTTTTTTTTTTGCAACTAATGGTGGGGGAGGGGGTAGCGGGGGAGGACTGGGAAGGACTCCTGAAGTGGGCGCTTGATTACACTGAAATGCACTCAAAAGTGGCGAACGAAGCGATGCCGCCAGCGAATGCAATCGAATGGGCAACAACGGGTACACATACATACATATATAACCCACCCACTACCACCCCCTCGAATGTGCCACGCCCACTCACACACACACACACACACACACATACATAGCCATATAGAAAGCCCAAAGGCTGCGCCAAAAAGTTCCACAAATTACATTTAAGTGACGCAAAAGTTAAGTGAAACTCATTGCGAAAATCGCGGATAGATGCAATGTGGCATGACTGGATGTGAGAGTGGGTGGCATAGGGGGAATGGTTGTAAAGTGGGTGGCTTGGCGGTGCATGAGTTAGCGGTGCAACACGACTAAGTGCTTTGGCTTGCCGAAAGTAGGCACTTGAACTATTTTTGTGTTCTCGCCCACTTACATACGCGTCGCTAGTTGTTTATGGCTTAGGGATGCTTCTGAAGGCTCTGATTGCGGATTTATAAAGGGGCGGTGGGGAGAGAAGAAACAGATAGCTGAGAGACTTAAGACAGATGCCACATAGAAATGATCAACTTGCCAAGGAACAACTTATGGAAAAGTTTAAGCTTTCAAGGGTTTCTTAACTTATTTAGTAGATGTACTAGGATATATACAGAATGCTTCTTAGATCTTGCTTAATACTTAATACTCTCTTTATGGTCTAACATAATCGTACATTATAATTTAACATAACTAAAAACGAAGCACTTTAATGTTGGTTTTTGGCAATAAAATTTCGCTGCTCTTAGGTGTCTGTGACATAATGCTCCCCGCTACCTCCTCCGTGGAAGTTTCTTCAACTCCAGCTGATTGCCGATTTGGTGGTTCCCATATAACCATAGCCGGGTATATAATAATCCGATACTTGCCACCATGCGATATCACCTCGAAGTGATGAAACTTGGCCAGCACCACATGCGTCTGGTGGGCATCAAGAAACTCCACAATGGGGCTTATGGTAATCCCCTGGCAGTTGATATAGACGACAGTGAGATCCAAATGCAGAGCTGCTTCATAAACGGTGGCCATCTTATGTCCCCAGACGGCGGCACTGGCGAACGGCACTCGTTCGTTGGCCAGCAGGCGGGGCAGTTCGGAGGCATAGCGAAAGGTGTGCAGCGTCACCAATGCACTGGGCTTTGATCCTCCAAAGAAACTCTGATTGAATTCACAAACGATCACCGGCGAGCCGGGGGTCATTTTGAACCGGAAATTGATGTCATCCGGCGTTAGCTGGCTGACAACTTCCGCTTTGAGACAATCCACCATTTGCACGGCCTTCAAATAGTTGAAATGGCTAGCCGCCTGATGATGCATCTGTTCCATTCGGCTGCGCATTCGCTCACAGAATGCATCACGCATCGTTTCGTGAACAAAGATACTGGCCACCATGCCTGGTGCAAAGGGTTGCTTCAGGGAACGCAGAAGTGGCTGGATCGCCGTCTCCACATCGGCATTTTGGCAGATGACTAGCAGTGTGGGACTCTGCCAGAAAAGGTCGCTTCCGTCACCGGGAAATTCTGGCTGGCGCCATGTATAGGGAGCTCGTTTGGGCATCGTCGTCGTTGGTCACTAAATTGCAAATAATCACGAGAATTTGAAAAGGAAATAAATTACTTAGAAATTTTGTAAAACTGTCAATGCTATCGCAGTGGATTTTGATTTGTTTTGCTTTTCACTAAGAGTATTAAGTCATCGTTTCCTAAGGCGTCACTTTAATTTGCCTGTCAAATCATTCAGGTGGCAAATTGTCGGTAAACATTCTAAAAATACATAATAAAATTACAAATTTTCATTTGTTCATTTAACATCTTGGCTATAACTTTGCGTCTGTCTTAAGGCATTTAAATATGTCCTTTACCTAGATTATTGGTATTAATTTCTCATTCCCTGAAGCTAATCAATCAAGAAGATTGCTGAAAATTATAAAGTCAAGCTGGTAAAGTGGTAGATATAAACCAAATTTAACGTATAATATGGAATCATTTCAAAAAAGGAACTTAAAACTAGTTCTTAATCAAGTTAACCCTGACTTTTCATTAGATTTAAATTTAAAAACAATTGATATAATGGCTAAAATATTCATTTGATAACTCAATCTCCCTGGTCGAGCAGATGCAGTGAAGCGTTCAGATTCTAACATGTATCCCAGTATCTTTCTCGCTATCCTGCACTCGAATGCTGCTCGAATATTAGTTTTCCCGGCAAGGAAATGAACGTTGACTGCTGTCCTGTTCTATGCATTGCCGACATCTATCCATCACTGCCACTTGGCGACGCAGATAGAGCCTTAGACAGAGACAAAGACAGAGAAATGGAGACTTGAATGTCTTCTCTGGTTTTGCCTGGCTTCACTTGTGTTTTAGCCCCATTTGCCACATGGTTTCGCATCCCTCGAGAGTGGTATACCCATTTCCCAGTGGTTTATTGCAGCCCGAGTGCTTCGCTCTTTCCGCCAGCAACACGTGGCTTTCCTGCACTAATGATGCATTCTCACTTGCAACATTGCAACATTGCCACACACTGCAACTGCAATACAACAGCACCAGCAGCAGCAGCAGCAGCCGAAACATAGACATTCACACTCAGGCCGCAGCAATAGCATCCTTGGTTTCGAGACTGATTCTCGTGTTTTATCCTGCTGCTGCGCCCCAGTTTACTTGAGTAAAATGCAATCTCCCAGCTCTTAGCTCTTAGGTACCATATCACCCAAGCTCCCAACTCCCAACATTCGGTACTCATGGGAGCAGATAACCAACCAGGCCACCAAGCCATCCAGGCATTCAACCATATGCCATGTGCCATATGCCTTCTGCATCTCTATGTGTCGCCTCCTTCCTTCCATCGCCATTTCCTCCACATCTCCTTCTCCTCCAGTGTCACAAAATCCAGAACAACTTACCCAGTTTCTGGTGCATTTCGGGATGAACAAAATATGATTGAATGCTATTTGAAGTGCAGGATAAAAGCCCTGAAAAGGTAGGACATGTAAAGCTTTATTGACAGATAACTTACACATTGTTTAAGGTTTTTAAGAAATTACAATTTTTAGGGAAAAATTAAATCAAAACCAACTCTTTAGTCAAAGAAAACTTACCAGTTACGATGTTTTAAATACAATTTAAGATTTTTCCTCTGCTAAAGCGTTCATTTTTTTCGTAAATTATAGTACGTATATTGACCTTTTTGGGTTAATGTATGTAAATCCAGGCAAGAAAAGTCAACTTTTCACCGAAAATGGCCACCAGCTTCCAGCTAAATGAAATCCCTTTCGAGAAGCTGCAAGGTCTGGCTAATGGATCTTTCCCTGTATAATGGGACATTGCCCTGCATTTTCCAGCTTCATTCATTTTCCTTCTCACCCTTTTCCGTTTTTTGAGTCACTTCCTTGGAGCAACGAGCACTTTGTGTGGCAATGTTGTGAGAGGCGTTCGATAAACACGATGCGCAAAGAAATCGTTGCATAAATTAAGGCTTAATATCCTGACCTCATCGATGCCTGTGCCAACGGCGATATCGGTCCAATACACAAACTATATAAGGAGCAACCATTTCCACCCAGCGATTACTCGGCCCCGTCACCAGCTTGCAGTTTTTAGCTCTCACATCGGTATACTAAATGGCTCAAAAAAAAAAAAAAAAGAAAGACAAAAATCTGGATCCAAATCGAGAATCGTTCAATTTTTCAACTCCGACAAATGAATATTTAAGGCCACAGAAGTGGGAGGAAGCCAGTGGTCAGTGCCAAGTGAAAAGTGCAAAGATTTACGACCAGCTCCCAGGCAGTTTTCTCTCCATTTTCTTCTATTTTTTTTTTTTTTTTTTTTGCCAAAGTCAGACAACCTTGGCAAATTGACTTTTGCCTTTGGCCTGGATTTTACTGCGTAAACGTCCCTTAGCCATTTACTCTCACAGAATTTTGGGAAAAGTCTACAGAAAACAAAACAGTTAAGATGATTTGCAAAAAACGAGGAAACTTGAAATACCCTTGCTTATTTAGTAAGTGTATTAAATGGCAATTTTAAGTAATCTGTTTCTTAAAGTTGTTTAAATTTGAAAATCTGAGATATTTACATTGGAAACTGATATTTGTCACGCGTCATGTGGAGTTGCCTTTAACCCAGCGGCTTCACAGCAGTAGTTCACAGGATTCTTAGCGGCGTTTAGGCCTTAATAATTGCATTTTATTCTGTAAGAAAATAAACTTAATATCACAGCAATAACTAAATGCGCTTACCATAGTATATCCTCTAATTCTTCGCGCGACAATTAAACTTAAAACTTTTTTTCCGACGTTTTACCATAACAGCTTAAAGTATGCCCGTACACATTTGGGCTCATAATCCGTAACATTTCTCTAAGAGAATACTGCCTTAAAATACTAAATGCGATTAAAAGCTTTAAGCCTATCGAGATCGATTATCGATTAATGACCATATTAGTTACAGTTTCCTTAACTTGTAAACAAATTAATTCATATTGATTTTGGCAATCAAAAGTTTTACTTTTAATTGATAACTAAAACTTCTCACTTATCTAAATTTAACTAGGTATTCTAGCTAGTATTTAACTAAATTCAATACAAACAAGGGCTTTGTTTTTCCTCAGTTTTCATTTCAATTGTTGCTGCTGGTTTTTCTTTATTTTCCCTGCTAAACAAACAAAGGCTCTTTTCAGAAATCTGAACTCTGTGAAATCAAAGTCTAGATGGGTTTATTTTTACAGCCAAGTGGCAGGCAGGAGGGCCAAATCAATAACCAATACAACGCACTGCCAAGGCAAGGCCAAGTTAGCTTAGCCGTTGCCCTGCGAACAGTTGCCAAGCTCAATTTGGACAGGTGGCAAGATGGTCCGGGAGAGGGCACTCCTCCAAAATGGGCCTGGGCAATAAATTAACAAAACTGCTGGCAAGGGAATTAAAAAAAAAAAAAAAACGGCAGAGAAAATTTAGATCTGCTGGCCGCAGAAAAGAAAAGCCAACAAAAAAAAAAAAATGAAAACCAAACTGAATTAAAAATTTTTTTGCATGAGCCCGGAGGAAAGTGAACTGTTGGCTGTTATCAACAGTTATCACAAAAATGCTGGCCCGGACAGAAAGCAACAAAAATGAAACACAAGATGGCACAAAAAATTTATCAAATATCTGCTTCCGGCAAAATGGCGATGACAACAAGCCCAGGAAATGGTGGGTGGAAGTGCCTCCAAAATGGGAGGCAAGTGTCGCAGCCAATTTGCAGGACAGCAGCAGCCGGCAGGCAGAAAAAGGAAGAAAGGACGACACGGTGGGCAGGACTGGAGAAGATGACAAGGAAGGGCCAAAGCAAATTGTTTATTGTTTCATAATTGAAGCCAAGAGAAGCCAGGACCTCACCTAATACGCCCACGTCTACGTCCTACCGTCCTACCGTCCTACCTTCCCTCCACTATCCACTTTTCTTACCTCTATTTTCCATTTTCTCCCCTTTTTCTCTAACCCCAAGGAAGCCAAGGCAGCGTTGCATAGATGGTGTCCGATTGCCAGGAGCATTATAGTTCACCAGTTTTCCCATCAACACTACTCCTGCTTAGCTCATAATATCAGAACTTGTCAGGCAGCTTAAGTATCTGGCTGGTATTTTTATACCCGTTACTCGTAGAGTAAAAGGGTATACTAGATTCGTTGAAAAGTATGTAACAGATAGAAGGAAGCTTTTGCGACCCTATAAAGTATATATATTCTTGATCAGGATCAATAGCGAAGTCGATTGAGCCATGTCCGTCTGTCCGTCCGTCCGTCCGTCCGTCCGTCCGTCCGTCCGTCCGTCCGTCCGTCCGTCCGTCCGTCCGTCCGTCCGTCCGTCCGTCCGTCCGTATGAACGCTGAGATCTCAGGAACTATAGCAGATACAAAGTTGAGATTAAGCATGAAGATTCTTGAGGTCCCGGGACAGCGCAAGTTTATTACAGCATCCTGCCACGCCCACTCTAACGCCCACAAATCGCCAAAAACTAAAAGTGCTGAAATCTCAGGAACTATTGCAGATAGAAAGTTTAAATTCAAAAATTATAATCTTTAATTGGCAGCGCATCTTATAGTGGTACTACAATCCGGCCACACCCACCCATACGCCCACAAGGCTCAAAAGACGGTTTTCGGATTTTCTAGAAAAGCTGATATCTCGGTAACTATAAAAGATAGAAAGTTCGGATTCAGCATGTAGGTTTCTATTATGCTCCCAATGCGAATTGTTTTTTTTCGATCAAGCCACGCCCACTCTAACGCCCACAAAACCTGAACAACCAAAAATGCAAAAATCTCAAAAACTATAAGAGCTACATACTTTTGTTTAGGATCACGTATTTAGGAGATGCCTTTGCAACTTTCCATGAAGTTGCATCCGGCCACGCCTACTCTGACGCCCACAAACCGCGGAAAACTGTGGCGTCTATAATATTATTATGAATGCCTTTGTTTGACTTTGTATAACTTATTTTTGTCAATATCTATCGATTTACCAAAGATTTTTCAAATCGGAACATTATTTCGCTATTTATGAAGAAATTAAGGTTATAAGGCCTCACATGGGCAGTGACGTCACTATAAGCATACTCAACATACTTCCTCTGAAAATAGGTGGCGCCTTGTGAATTTCCACTAGCAAAATAATATTTTAAAATTTTGTAAAACAGTAACGGGTATCTTATGGTCGCGGCACTCGACTATAGCGTTTCCTCTTGTTTTTTTTTGAATACTTAGGAAAATACTAAACTAGCTAGAAATTTGGTATTTATTAAAGTGGTTAAGTTGAGTTTCCCTTTTAAAACTTACTCCTAACTGTTTTTGATGTAAAAAGCAAATTAAAAGTTATTTTTGGAATGAAAAGTAATTTTAGTTAAACTAGAAAGACTAGTTGACAAGTTTTATTGGAAATTCAAATAGAATTAGATTTAAAAGTTTTTAAAATGATAACCCTGACTAGCCAGCTTTGAAGTTCAGCAGCTGGCATTAAACTTACACCCTCTGATTATGTGCTGGAATTCTTAATATAATTCCCCCAACCCAAACACCCCCTTGGCTTTCTGTTCTGACAACGTTGTTAATTGCCTTAACGCAAATAAATTCCCAAAAACAAAAAATGTTGGAAAAAAAGAAAGAAAGAGAGAGATATGAAACAAAAACGTTTTATCAGGGCCATTTAAAACGATTTTCAAGAGCTCACCTTGGCCACGTGTGGCAGCCTCAGCTGGTCCATCAGATCCTGGCTACCCATCAATTCCCGTCTAAGCAGCTGCTCAGCTCCTGAGAGGGGCAACAAAAACAAAAAACAAAAAAAAAAGTTCATTAAGCAATGTTCAACAATAACATTTATTCTCATTCACAGGCACACACACACAAGCACACACACACACAAGCACACACACACACACACACACACACAGACAGACAGAGAGTTTAGCAGATTTATAAGCATTTTACACCTGTGGCGCCTTTTTAGGCCTGCCACCCCTTGCCACTGGCAACATCTCCCATCTTCCATCTCGAACCTTAAACCAATAACCTCCACTCTCCACCCATTACCACCCACCATGCATCAAATGGTTGAATGAAACTGCTGAGCTGGCAGACTAACACCCACTCCCACTCCCACCCATGGCATGTGTGTGCGTGCAAACAAGCTGAAAATTCATTAAACTGAAGCAATAAATTCTTTTAATTGTTTTCCTTGCCAAACCACCCACCTTCCAGCCCTCTTGCACTGCTCTTTCTCTCTCATTTCATTAATTCATTTTGGGTTTTCTTTTTTTCCCCCCACCTCCCGTTTGTTATGCTTCCCTTATATATTTTTCTTTTTTTTTGGTAATTTTCTTCAACAACATTTCCATTTGGCAAGAGGCAAACATTGTTTGCCCATCTCATTTCACCGCGCACTCTCCACTTTTAATGTTTTACGTGATATGTTTGGCATGTCTTTGACGTGGCCGCCACTGCCGCTCTCCACCTTCGCTTTCCCTCCTTGCAGCTGTCATTAATTCTTTTCAATTTAAGAAAAAAAAAAAAAAGAAAAACAAGATAAGAGGCACCAGAATCTGAAGTTGCCTCATTAGCAGGTACAGTCTCGGGCCGAAAACTTTGACAGTTGCATCATTAATACAATACTCTTTTGGTTAGAGGGGGGTTTGGGGGTTTTGGGGGGTGGAAGTTTAATGAACTGGCAGACTTGTCAGGAACTTAACTAATGGATTTCTTCTTCCTCCTCTCCTTACAGGTGTCTCCGGCATCGACTTGTTTCATGTTGTAACTCGAGGACTTTCGGTAAGTTATTTTGCCCATGCAGCCCCCCCAAAGATAAACAACGATTATCGAAATGATAGAAAATAAGTAGGGGGTGGGTGCAAGGGGTAGCGGTTCTGTGATCTGAAAAGTATTTGGTTTTCTATACGAATTGTTGCATTCCACAACGAGTCGAGCCGCACACGAAACTTTTTGGCCAGAGGAAGGAACAACAGCGGAAGGATAACGCCGAGATTGTCCTGCAACTGCAACTGCAACTGCAAGTTTCGATTTAGTTTTGAGGTCAGATGGTCAGTGAGGAGATGGGGTGGTATAGAAGGGGTGTGGCTACAAGATACACAGGGACTAAGGTTACAGTTCAAGCTGAGCCACACAAATCTCCTTCGTCCTGGAACTTCTTTCCACTTCCACAGAATAGATAACCGGACAATGTTTCTGATAAAGCGTACAAACTTGTGCAGCTCTCAGTGAAGGAGGATTAAAGCTTGCATTCGGAAAAGTCAGGTGGAAAACTAAGGTCCATTGGAAATGAAGAACAACGAGGGGTTGTAAGGGATACTAGCTGGGTTTTTAAAAATGGTTAAAAGATGTAACTTTAAATGCCATTTGAAAGTTAAGTTGGACCTCTCATTAGAGTCAATTTAAGAAGTTCCTACCCCAAGTTAATCACTTTTAAGATAAATTATATCAAGACGAAACTATCAGTTTTAAGCTAACAGATCCCAGCCATTTAAGACAGACTCCATTTAGGTCTTAATTATCTCCTTTACATTGCCTTACACAACACCTGACTCGGATTTCCCTGACCTTTCGTCAATTCTACATCTTGATGTCGTCCCTATGTTCGAGCCACAAGAAGCAGACAAATTAAAGTGCATTCAGTGTCAGGGTACCAGGTGCAAGGGAATTAGCCAGAATGTCTTAATCAGTCTGAATCAGTTGCCAAGGTCCGGATACAAGGCCTGACAGTCATCAGGCACAGTGTTTCCTCCTTCCCCTTTCTCTGAGATTCCTCAATCCTCAGTCCTGGACACTGGACATATGTTGGCCGTCTTATGTTGCCGTAAAACAAAAATAGAGAAAAGCTGAAAAACACTGCAGAAGAGGTGCTTCAGCTGCAGTCGAGCACCACCTGGCCGGGCTTAAGTCCATGCCAATATATTAAACTTATTGTGCCTGGCAGGTGACCTCCAGGCATTGCTCCATGTCCGCCGTTCTACCCGTTTCCTACCTTTTGGCATTGCCCAGTGGCCGTACTGCACTTCCGGCTGTCGTCCTTGCGGCAACGTTTGACATTGCGCAAAGCCAGAGGAGTCCTTCTGCACCAGGCACATCCTGCATCCTCCTCCCCCCCTGACCCCCTTTACCCAACGACTCCATCTCCGGCTTGCTCGCTGTTCATTTCAGGAAATGCATTTCGTCAGCGTTAAATGAAAACGAAATTGCCAATTTCAATGAGGATAAGGAGAAAGAGCGAGAGAAAGCTGAAGCGGGAGAATGAAGATTGGCGGATCCTGGGAGTGAGTTGAAAGGAGATGGAGATGGAGATGGAGATGGAGATGGAGGACACATACACATCTGTGAAGTTCAGGCTCAATCAGTCTTTCACTGGTCTGTGATTTTTTGCTAGGATTCACGGCGACTAATGTGATTTGCACGAATGCGAAACTAAGACTGCGACACTGACGTAAGATGGGAAAAATTGCGAAAAAGGGCTGGGAGATAACGAGATGGGATTGAGCGATAGACCGAGTGGAAAACTACAGTCGAGCGGAGAGCAGAAATCGATGGAAAAAAAAAAAGGGATAAAAGTGCTGGTGACCCATTTTCACTACCCAAGCAGCCATAGAAATCGTTCCCAAGATTTCAGAAAGCTGAAATATTTCTTCTTATTAAGTACAAATTTAAGATTATGAAACTTCCCTGACAAAAAACTAATCATTCCCCTAAGTAAAGCTCTCCTTGAAACTAACCAAAGTTGAAAAGTAAAAAAAAAAGGAAAACCCACGTGCCACACAGCCAGCCATCCAATTCGGAAAGAACCCTTAAAAAGGGGAGAGGGGGGTGGCGGTGGCAATGCAGTTGAAAGTCAATTGCAGGGAAACCTTAGCCCAGTTATGAGAGCAACTGCGTAAATCAACTCGAGCTCAAGCGAATGAAAGCCAAACAAAGAAAGCGCCGTTTGCTTTTACTTAACCGCCCCAAGGCGGTGGGGTTAGTTGCCCCAACCCTGATGCTCAACCTCTGTTGGTGGCCCATCCCCCAACCTCTTTAACCCCCTTTAACCGGCCCCTTCTATTGGCAATACAAACAAAAGCGGTGCAGAATTATGTCAATGGCATCGTTGTCATGGCCGCTTTTCCGTAAGTTTCCCCTCTTGCGGCACTTCCTTTGGCCCTACTTTCCATTTTCATCTTCCTGCGGGAGCTCCTCTCCTGATGGCATTGTCGCCTGGAATTGCTACTCCTCAGTCGAATAATATCCGAGCAATCTTCCACCCCTTTGGCGCCAATAAAAACCACCTTCAACCCCCCCCACCCAACTAAAACCCCCAACCATCCCGCGATGCGTTCCTCGTTACCTATCAAAACCAAAATTGAATACAAAAATCTCATCAAAAATCGATTAGAGCTGGCAACGAGCAAGGAGGGGGTTGATGGGAAAATCAGGGAGTAGAACCTGAAGGATTCAAGTGCCAGCCAAGTATATATAATATCTATATATATATTTATATAGTAACACGCAGCCGCGCTCTGAGAATCGTGTTAATAAACGAGCTTCATCGCCAGGATTGTGACAATCCAAGAGGCGGAGCCACTTGCACCTGTTCCATGTTCCTTCAGCCAAGATCCTTGTTCCTTGTTCCCTGTTTCCTGTACCATGAAAGCAGCCAGTGGATTGAATAAATAACATTGCCAAATGCAATTTGTGAAATTAAAACCGAAAGTAGTGAAAACTTTTTCCACCCCCCTTCTCTGCCTTCTTTCAACTCCTTTCGACCATCGTCAGTCGCCTTATCGGTGACAGCAATCATTTCTGCGGCTTGGGAAAACTTTCTCCTAACGACGCCAAACGATGAAAATGATGATGATGATGATGATGATGATTACGATGGTAATGGTGAGGAAGAGGAAGAGGAAGAGCTAGAGGGAGGAGTCGAGCATTGGTCGGGTCTGTGGATTCTAGGCTTATTGCGGTCTGTTCTTTAGCCACAACGAATTGGAAAGCAAAGCGTTCATTTGTAAAATTAATAAAAATAGTTTCTCATCCGCCTCTCAGGCCCAAGGAACTGTTGCTTGTGTTGGTCTCCTCCCCCATCCCCCATCTTTGGGGCTTAATGAATATGGATGAAAGTGTTTCAGGACAAGTTCCTGACACGATGCGATGAAGCTGAGAAACCAAATGGGCTTGGAATGGGTTTTCATCGATCAAAGGACACCCGCCTTTGCTGCGGTCCATAACCCAAAGTTTAACCCCAAGTTTTCTTTCATTTTGTTTGATTTAAGTTGGGTTACATTATAGTATGTGATTGTTCAGAGTAGATATATATATATATCTGTATCTGTATCTGTAAAATGACCCCAAATCCCTTTGCTTTTTTAGCTCTCAGTGCGTGCCTGGGCAAAGCCCATAAGTAATCGATTTAAAATTGAATCAAATTATAAACAATAAAAGCAAATAATTGCATTGAAAAAATAAAGTAAATGGATTTTGATACCTCTTGTTGGTAGTTTAAAGAGGGTATAATGAATACCTGTTGGAGTTAGTATAAAGGAAAAACTACTTCTATTAACACTTTCATATCAAGTTGATAACTAACAGGTATTCCAAAGTCTCCTCGCTCAACCTTTAAAGTTATTTACCTTTTTTGCTGTTTGATTTAGCGGACTAAATACAATTTCATTTTGATACTTTGTTTAATTGACTTTACTTTCGCTCTCTTTGTGGGATTAGCAAATAAGAAAAAAAAAGCATTTGCTAGCTGAAGTGGAAAAGAAACATTGAAAGGGTTTTTCATTGCCTTTAAGTATGCCTTTGGGGTGAAAGCCCAGCCCCCTTGTTGCAAGTAGCAACGTTTAACCCCTGTTTCATATTTCATATTTCATATTAATATACTGCATCCTTACCCTAACCCTAAGCAGCATCCCTTTCGATCGTCTGAACAACACCCCTTAGGATTTCTCGAGATTAGATGTCATCTTGGCCATGTTATTTGCCGGCCTGTCGGCCTGTTCAAACGCAACTGCGGACATGGTCCTTTACCTTTAAACCTTTTTTTATCGAAAAACTCTCCCCCTTATGTAGGTTTTATGTTGGTTGTCCCATGTTGTATGTTGTATGTTGTATGTTGTATGCATTGGCCCATCTAGAGTTTAGCTATGTACACAAAAGGCGAAAGCAAATTGTGTTTTGTCAGTGACATGGAAATCAACTGAAGCGATGTGCGCGATTTACGGGCCGAGAACATTTTCCAGGGCTAAATCAACAGAATGGGTGGCTTTTCAGTTGGGTGGATTTTGGTATGCAGTTGGGTGGGTGATGGGGTTTTAGAGGGGTTTTAGGTCTTTTTTGGTCTGTTTGCTACGATAAACTGTTGGAAAGCACACATGTGACCATGCCCAACTGCCGCCTATATGGAAGGCGCAAGAACAGGAACAGAAACAGGAACAAGAACAGGAAGAAAAGAGAAAAGCCCAGAGGACGAGGACAACTCAATTAAGCATGCACAATGCACACGAATTTAAAACCGGCTATCAACCCCCTCCCTACCCCCTATCCTCTTTCTCTTTCTCTTGGGGAATTTCCAATGCTTGCTGCATTCGCGTAGGAAACTGAGAAATATAGAATCGCCCCCTCTTAGCCCCCTTTTAGCTCCCCTTTGGCCTATCCAAAATAAATGTACAAAAATTGTGAAAAATATCGCAATGTATACTGCGGCAGACGGTTGGACATGGGAAATAAAATTGTTTGATATTTGAGTCACATAAATTTCCATTGATTTTCCTCGTTTTCTCCCGTTC